TCAGTCAATTGACCAGGCAGCTGCCTTCCAAATTTCTTGGCATACACTAGTGAGTGCTTTCAGCAGTAAATCAATTTGTATTCATTTCAACTGGTATTTTATCAATTCCAGAAGACTGATTTTTCAATAATTCCTTCAGTGTCCTGTCCACCAAGGACTCTTATATATAAAGACATACAGGTAGATAGTTCATGGATAGCACAAATGGTTTGTGTTTGACTACTAACTGAAAGGTTGGTAGTGTAACCACACTTCCTGGTTTGGCACTATAGGATAAGCACTAATCATAAGGTGGATTTGAACTGCAAGGTTAACAGTTCAAACTCACTAATCGCTCCTTGGAAGCCCTCTACAGGGTCGCTATGAGTTGGAACCAACTCAGTACACTTAGCAGCAACAATAGTAGTTCTATAGAAGAAAACTCTGAAGACCTGATTTCATTATTATTATAGTCAATAAAACCCTATAGAACATTTCAAGTCTGTAATACCAGGCTTGCCACTGGGTTTGGTATCTATTTGTTGTTGTTGTTGAGTGCCATTGAGTCAATTCCAACCCATAGTGACCCTGTATAGGGTTTCCAAGGAGCAACTGGTGAGCTTGAACCACTGATCTTGCAATTCAAACGGCTTTGCAGTCTGGTGCATTATGTGCGTGTGTATATACATATATATATATATGTTGTTGTTGTTAAGTGCCGTCGAGTCGGTTCCGACCCATAGCGACCCTGTACAGGGTTTCCGAGGATGTAAATCTTTACGGGAGTAGAAAGCCTGATCTTTCTCCCGCGGAGCAGCTGGTAGTTTCAAACCGCTGACCTTAAGGTTCGCAGCCCGATTCGTAACCACTACGCTACCAGAGCTCTCTCTCTCTCTCTCTCTCTCTATATATATATATATATATATATATATATACACAAAGCAATAGAGAAATCTTAAAGAATTGGCTCATGTGATTACTGAGGTTGGCAAGTACAAAATTTTAGGGCAGCCCGAAAGTACTAGACTAGTAACTGCAAGCCTGGCAGATCAAACCCACCAGCCACTCCACAGGAGAAAGATGAGGCTTTCTGTTCATGGAAATCCTATTTGGGTTGCTATAACTCAGAACAGACTCTATGGCAGTATTTTTGTGTTTTTGTTTTTTAACCTGGAAATTCAGGTAAAAGTTGACATTGGAATCTTGAGTCCAAAGGGTAGGTCAGCAAACTGGATATTTTATTGTAGTTGTGAGGCAGAATTCTTCAGGAAACCTCAGTTTCTGCTTTTAAAGCCTGGTTAATTGAGGCCCACCCACATTAGGAAGGGTAATGTTCTTTACCTACTGTAACTGATTGTAAATGTTAATCATATTGAAATACCTTCACAGAAATGAAACACCATAGCCTAACTAAGTTGACACAATTCACCATCACATATGGTGGTTAATTTTCCAAGTGTATTTGCTGCAGTGGTTAATACAATTCATCTCAAAGTAATAACGAATTCATAGCTTCGTTTTGGCATTGTGTCATGAGGTAATACGTGAAACATTTTGACATTAAAAATAAACCATCTTCAAAAGGATGGGAGTGTCTTCTTCAAGAAGAACAGAGAAGATTCTACTTTGTGTCAGAGCATTTCCCTCCTCTGCTTCCTCCTGAGATTCATGGCAGGTACTTAGTTCCCCCAGGGACTAAGAATTACTTCTGAGAAATGACACAGTTAGATTCTAGACTTGCACTTCCTGATGACTTGTCACAGCTGGGAATTGAATTCCTTCTTTAGCCAAAAAGCGATGATGGGGATTGCTGTGCTGTTCCCTTTAGGAAGGACAGTGTGAGAAAAGCAGTGGTATGTGGAGAAACAGCAGGTGGGACTGCAGGGGCGGTGCCTTCCCATGACTGCACTGGCTTGTAACTGGCTCAGAGGTGTAGCAGGGCAGCCAGAATGGCCACTCCAGGAACAGCTGGCAGGGAGGAGTGCCATCTCACATCTAGTCTTTTGTGGAAAATTCCTAAAGTTAGAGAACTGGAAAAATGATGATTATCTCATTAATAAGATGGCCAGAATTAGCTCTTGTCCTCTGTGCTCCATGTGGCAGTCCCTGATTGATGGTAATACTACCTTTAGTGTCTCAAGGAATGAGTGGAGAAGATGAAAACATACATTAGGTGCAGAGTGTTAGAGAATGTGCACAGGTCATGGTGTGGGGAGTTCTCTTCTGCCTCAAACTAGGAACAACAGCCCTTTCCAAAACCCACATTTACGAAGTAAATGGCATTTAGGTTCTTGGAGTGAAAAAACCCAAACCAAAAATAATGCATATCTTGTTTAGGAGCATGATACTAACTCGATGGCACCTAACAACAACAACTACAACAACAACAACACCTTCTTGTAATCATTAGAAGCACAATTTTAATGGCTATATAGTAGTGTAGTGGTTACGAATCGGGCTGTGAACCGCAAGGTCAGCAGTTCGAAACTACCAGCTGCTCCGTGGGAGAAAGATGAGGCTTTCTGCTCCTGTAAAGATTTACAGCCTCGGAAACCCTGTTCAGGGTCGCTGTGGGTCGGAACCTACCTGACGGCACTTAACAACATATATTAGAAGTTAAAACCAATCATTAACTACATTGGAATTTCACAAAATCTTTCCACTGGGCAGTTGAGAATGGGATATGGAACAGTTAAGTTCTGAAGTGGGGAGGACAGGTAGGGGAATCAAGTTGTCTGTGGAAGGCTGGCACCTCATAGGGTGGGGGCTGGACAGCCAGAGCGACAGGATGAAGGGAAACTGATGACAAATTTAGATTTCATCACATTCTGTACATTACATTCTTGACTTGAATGGATTTATATTGGGCCTTTAAGTATTTTAAAGCTATTAAATTGATTGACTCGTCATCTTTTGTGAAATAAGGATATGATTTCATAAGTGCTCATTAGGCTGGAGGACATTTACATTAATAAGCCACCCACAAGTCTGTATATGTGATTCATTGTATTCAAGTAAATCAAGTGCATATGAGTAAATGGTGAGATTCTGAGGATTTCTATGGCTGACTCTGCCTTCTGTGGGGTTGTGATGCACATCTTCAGACTCTGCTTATTGGACTGGACAAAGCTAGACTTGTGAACATCTGGTCTGCCCACAATGTCTTGTCAAGGAAAGGGGTCGAGGTGGTTCCTTCCTCATGTTGTCACCTCTTGATTAAGCCTCCAAGGCTATAGCTGATGGGGTCAGAATGAACCAAGGGCCTTTCATCTATGGCCTAAAAGTGCTGTTTTACAGGGATAACTGTGATATGCTGAACTTACAGATTCTCATAGGAATTTGACCTGAAAACATAACAAGAGGCAGTCAACCGCCAGAAGAAACTTAGCTAGAAGAGCCTCAGAGGGAAGGCAGTATGTAACATTATCAGGCACTAGAAGTCCTGAGTAAGCGGAAGCAAGAGTACGTAGATACCATGCAGTTCTGGAGATGCCAGAGGAAGGAAGAGTTTGTTGTTAGCAACAAATAGATAGTTGAGATCTTCTAATGGCAGAAGATAATCTGAATAATCTGATAACTGGAGCTATATTGTACCTTTTCTAATTTCTGGATTGTAATGTGAGGTTTAGCTAAATATTTCCATGATGTCTGGCTGTGACACATGAATCCTCATCGTGATTGCCCACGGTTCCCACCTCCAATTCCTGAAACTGAAGAGAATGCAGAGGCAATTTTTCCTTGCATGTCAAGGGATCTGATATGCAAGCGTATATCTGTGGTTCTTATAACATTTTGTTCTGTTTTTATTATCTGTGAGTTCTCTGGGTGGCCTTTCCCCTCATCTTCATTCTCTGTCTCACAGCTTCTACTGCAGATAGATATTTGCTCACCAGAGCCAAGTAGTTGCAAGGGCAGTAAGTGCTAACCCAACACTGCTACCACAGTCAGCAAAGTGTTCTCCAGACACAACCTGGGACACATTGCCTTTGACTTTTTAATCAACTTATCATCAGAGTGAATTGATGAAGACATGAAAATTTAGTTTAACTGTTAGGTCATGGCTAAATTTAGAATCAATTTTCTTCTCTCTCTGTACATTATTAAAGAACAGCTTATTCCTGTTCCTAGATTCTTCCTTCCTCCATTCAATACCAGAAGGAGAGTTACACATTTAGGACGTTTCAGTGTCAACATATTTTTAATTTGGCTACAATACTCTTTTGGGGAGCAGTCATGGATATCTAGAATATTTGTTGTTGTTTGTACCCCTATGCTATATAGTGGTAATAGACAGCTTTTCAACTATCTGATTTGCCTTGCTGCAAGCATAAACTCTCCCTTTTCAGTTTGGTTTTGGCCTTCACATAGTAGGGATTTAAAGAAAACAAACCCTTAATGGCTTCGTTTTAGCACTAGAACCTCCCTGAGTTCTAGCCAGAGGTAGATGGCTGTCCAGTTTAAGAATATATTTCCTAAACTCTTGTAGCTAGTTGTAGCCACGTGATTAAGTTTCCATTAGTAGATGTTTGTAACTTCTACAACAATTCTTTCCAAGGAAATTGCAAGTCACCCCTTTTCTCTTTCCTCGCACAGATGAATGCAATGTAATAGAAAATGGCAGAGTGACAATGTAGAAGGAGGGGAATGCCTCAGATAACCTGTGGAGCACAGCCACCTACACATCTGAGCACCTCTGGACTGTGACATGAGAGAGCAATAAAACTTTCCCCTGTGTGAGTTATCAGATCACGTAGGACAGCTTCTGACAACTGACTTCATTCTTGTGACTGAGCTCGGTATAGATTCATTGATAATCAATTCTTCTCCAGTCCCAGTGAGATTAAATCTGTTAGGCATATGTTTGGATGCAAGTAACATAAAACTTGACTAATAGTGGATTTAAAAAAAGGATGCTTACTTTTTAAATGCAAAGTTGGTCCAGCTGATGCCTCTAAGATGGGCTCTTTCTTTGTTCCCAGTGTAGCTCAGAAGGTTGGTTTTCTACTCCATGATATCGTAAAATGACTATAACACCTAAGGCCATTATGCTTGCATTCCACATAGGAGGAGGAGAAGGTGCAAAAAGCCAAGGGGCATGAGTTTTTCCCTTTCCAGGAATCCTTCATTACTGAGAATTTTGTCTTATGGCCACATCTAGCAGCAGAGGATTCTGAGGTGGTGAGACTATTAAGTTGTTGTTGCTGTTAAGTGCTGTCAAATTAGTTCTGACTCATAAGGACCCTGTATAGGGTTTCTGAGGAGTGGCTGATAAGTTTGAACTGCCGACCTTGTGGATTAAACTGACTTTGCGGTCCAATGCATTATCCCCAGAGAAGGTGTTAGGTTGGGAACATTCCTGGGATGAACAAAGGGCAGACAATAGCACTATGCTACAGAGGGCTTCTCCCAGTTCACTGGACCACTCTAGATGTTCTTACAGTTTCATTCTTCTTCCATGGTTTTCCCTGCCCATCCCTGCTACTGTTTATGAAATTAATGCCTCTTCTTTTTACATCCCTTTAATGTTTTTGCCTAGGTGAGAAACCTGGGAATGAGCCTGAAGAGGTGAAGCTGCAGAATGCCAGCAAAGAGATTGTACAGAATGCCATCCTGCAAGCTGTGCAGCAAGTCTCCCAGGAGAGTCGGCAGAAGGAAGAGAGAACCCGAGACAGTCAGAGAAGCTTCCAGCTGGGAGTGGGGGAATTAACCAAGAAACATGAGAAGAAGTAACATTTGTGGATTTGGTTCTTGTCATATGCTTGATTTCCAGCCTTCCTCTTAGTATAGGATGCGTCGCCAAAATGTTAAAGCAAATCAAAGTGTCATTGGCGCCTAGCAGTAGAGTGAATCTGCACTAGCCCTTGGCTGAGAAGCACTGTTTGAACAAAAGTGCTTTAGGTGATTCTGTTTATATTTATGCAGTGCCTCTTAACCACAGGGGAAGGGGCCAAACATGACACTAATTGCAGAAGTCTTTTTGCAGCACATTTCGTTTTTAAAAAGTATTGATTCTTATATATTTACTTCTGCATTATTTTTATGGATTTAACCAGCAGTCTTTCTTCTTCTTCTTTTTTTTTTTCTGACACAGTTCAATACTTTGTTCTTTATATTTTTAAAAAGACATGCTGGGCAGGAGAAAGAATTGAGTTTTGGAATTTAAGGTTTTTATAAAGTGGACTCAGGTACAAAGACAAACGCTAAGACTGAGTTTCTCAGAATCTCAATAAAGCTTATATTTTTATTACTTTAAAAATGGAGAATTTTAGGGCTTTTAAGAGCTCAGTCATAATGCTCTGAATTGATTGAGAATTAGTATTTGCCCTCTGTGCAGAAGTCCTATTGGGAAGATTCTGGGTTTCTTTTCATCTCAAGATTAAGTTAAGATAAGTCAGTCTATCTGCATGAGTTGCCAATGATTCAGTCCTTCAGCAGCCCCATGAGAAGCAACATGGGCTGGAGAGTTGCTAACTGCGGGCTGTCCTGGGAGAACGCACTCTAGGATCTGAAGATGGGGCGGCACATCATTGGAAAGCATGTTGGGGTCCTATAGATGCTGTGCTGCCATCAGGCTATACATTTGCACTAGAACCTGACTAGCAGGGACCATCCTCCACCCCACCCCATTCACAATAAAAATTAGTTGCTTAAAAAAAAAAAGATAGACGTCATATATATGACAGGAATCAATAACACTTACGATGGAAAAAAATCCTTATTTTCAACTGTCTGAAGCATGAAAATACAGTGGGGGCAGTACAGTGATGGAGTTGTGAGTGCAGGTACTGAATTATGTGTGCTTGTGTCTGAATAAAGCCATTTCTATGGGAACAGGAAGGCTTCCAGCTCCACTCCCACATGGCCAATACTCATCTTGCTAAGTCCTAAAGGTCCCATTGATTTCACAACACTATCGAGTTGGTGCTATTGGGGAGACAGAAAAAAATTGATCATTGTTAAACCTTTTTGTTTCAGATTATCAATGCCTACATTTGATAGATAGCAAAGAAAAGATGCAAACATAATATGTGACTGATATCAGGATATGCTTCTAAAATGTCCATGTGTCACACTTTCCAGAATGGATAGGTTGAGAATAGTAGACAAATGAAAACAATTTCTTATCAGTTCTGTTAGACTATCTCACACAGTGTACAGATGGAATACATTTATGGGGGATAGATAGAGAAAGGAGCAGAGGAGATTTGAATTTAAATATGGTTCATCCAGAATTTTTTTTTTTTTTTTTTTTAGCACTACTCATGAAAATTGAAGAATGAGTTTAAGTTGACTTAAAGTCCAATGGGTGAGATGGGTAATATAATTGTACAACATCAATAGTGAGAATGGAAGTGTGAGGGGGGTCATTCAGGAGTGTACACACATAGATACATATATAAATAACCCCAATGCTTGTAGTTTGCAGCTGACCAGGCTCTCTGTCTACCAAGATGTCTAGAAATAACCTGGTCCAGAGTTTTTGCTGTCATCTGGACAGAAACACATCAATGCGCTACCTTTCCTCTCTGGTGTTTCTGTGCCAATACATTGGAGATGTTTAGGAATGTCTTATCAATCTCTGCATTTAATGTTATTTGTAAATAAATATATCCAGCTTTGAAATAAATATGTTGTCATTTTAAGCAAAATGCCTATGTCCTACTATTTTGACTCTTTATATGGGGCACCACATGGCTTTCGAAGTCTGTGTTGTTCTAAACCACTAGCTCTCATGACCAGAAGGGCATCTTTTAGAGTCTTTACTTTAACTGTCTGAGGGCAACTGAGGGAGACATGGTGGTTCCCAAGCCTCGAATGGAAAAGGTCACAAGGTAACAAGTGGTCTTTTGATCTTAGGAAGTAAAGGTAAGTGGATCTGGAGGGTCAAATGTCTTTCAGTATCTTTCTGAAATGAAAGTCTACAGCAAGAAACAGAAACAAACACTAATAAATTCTTGGGAGGACACAGGAGATTAAATAACCCCTGTAATGAGTTGGCATTTTCCACTCAAGAAGGAGGTTCCATATTGGTGGAAACATAAGAAAACTCAGTGATAAAATTAAATGCATCTGTTAGACTCTGACTTCTATCTCTTAGTATAAAGCTACAGTTATAGCATCTCACAAGGGGCCTAGAGAAGTTCATTTAGCATAGGACTAAAGTGGGTTGCCATTTGATTATTATAAACCAGCACACAATTTTAAGTTTAAAGAATAAGCAGGCACATTTACTTAGTCTCTTTTATCTTCCTGATTTACTACACACTAAAGTGTACATAGAAGCCCTGTCGGCTCATTCCACAAGAGAAAGATGTGACAATTTGATTTTGTAAAGATTGTTGTTGTTAAATGCATTGAGTCACTTCCAACTCATATAGGGAAACTGCATAGGGTTTCCAAGGAGTGGTTGGTGGGTTTGAACCAGTGAACTTGTGGTTAGCAGTCCAGTGTTTACCCTGTAGCACCATACCAGGACTCTGTGAAGATTACAGCCTTGGAATCCCTATGGGGGGCAGTGCTATTCTGTCCTAAGACAGAGCTGGAATAACTGCATGACAGTGGTTTTTATTTTTTTTTGAAGGGTGAAGGTTAAACATACATGGACCTACCAGTTCTGTATATTCACCTGTTGATTTTGGCTATTTCTGGCATAGAACTAAAGAAAGAAGTGCTAGTATGTTATTTTGTTTTGCTGTGATCATTTCTACATTGTAAATCATATTGCAAATAGATCCTAAGCAGCTTACTGGTTCCTGAATTCCATTCCTTTTTTCTTTCTTTCTTTCTTTTTTTTAGCTACATAATCTTTCCTTTTGGTGGGATCTCCTTAAGGTGGAATTTCAGGGTTTTTTGTGTCGTATTTTATTATTATTATTATTTTTTGGTTAGCCTTAATTTAGTGCAAAGTAAGGCTCTAAGCCTTTACAGTGACTTCAAAACTGCATGGGTAATACATGAAAGTGATTGTGATGAAGAATTTATTATCAGTAGGGGTTGTTGGTTCAATCATTTCAAAGGTGAAGGAAAATTTACATAACACTAAAACGCAAATAGGTGTTGTCCTGAAGTCAGACTTTTGTAAGCAGGGACTACTTATATCTAGTTTGGCAACTATGGTCCCCAAAGCCATAAAGAGTAAATACTTAAGCAAATTCTTTCATGTAAGGAAAAAGTGAAAACTTCGCCAAGAGTCTGGTGTGATGCTGTGGTTTTAATGTGTTGGACTGCAAAGCCAGTTTGAATCATAAGGTCAGCAGTTCAAACTCAACAGCTGCTCCTTGGAAACCCTGTACAGGGTCGCTATGGATCAGAAGCGACTCAACAATATGGGCTCTTGGTGTAGTGCTGTGGGATTAGCACTGAAGTTCGAACCACAGCGTGCTCAGTTGAAACCCACTTACCCACTCCTTGGAAACCCTATACAAGGTCACTATGAGTCAGAACTGACTTGACAAAACTTAACAACACAATGACACACTAATACTATACAGAAGCTTCCAAAAGTTCATGGAAAATTCTGTTATCTTTCTATTGCATTTTTCCATGAACTTTTGAAGCCCTTTTATCTTCTGTTAAGTAGGTAAAAGTTTTCTGAAATCTAGTAGTTCATATTATCTTGTTTATCTCAATGCCTCTTTCTGTAGCTATTCAGACTGAGACTGATGATAAGCAAATCTCAGGAAAAGTGAGCACTCTGGGGCACAGACTATGAATCTCTAATCTCACACTTTGTGAATAACTGAATTAGCTAGGGAGCTTGAGTATACGAATTTTTGAGATAACTATATTAAAGTGACAGGATAAAGCTGCTTAGAGAATGTCTTTTCTGAATGCTAAGAATTTGACAAGGATAGTTAAGAGGCCTGCAAAAATTTCCATCAATAGAAAAAGTGCAACACTATTAACCTTAAAAAGTGGCATCTAAGGAAAGAGATGGAATCCTGGTGTGGCGCTATGGGCTAATGCATCAGACTGCAAAGTTGTTTGAACTACAAGGTCGGTGGTTCAAGTTTACTAGCTCTTCCTTGGAAACCCTATACCGGAATGCTATGGGTCAGAATCGACTCGACAGCCCTTAACAACAAGGAAAGAGAGTCCTGGTGTGGTGCTGTAGGATAACCACTGGACCCTAAAGTCAGTTTGAACCACAAGATCAGTGGTTCAAACCCACTGGCCACTCCTCGAAAATCCTATATGGAGTCCCTATGAGTTGAAACGGATTCAGCAACACTAAATAACAACAAGTAAAGAAACAGGAAACAATGTCGATGACAACAGACCATGGTAATGCCACTCACCCCCCACCCGCACCTCAGAAGCCATACGGTAAATACAAAAAAACCTTGACCAGGTAGGGAGAGACAGCAACAAATGGGTCATGTTATCTTTTATCTTCCAGAAAGAAGAACAACAAAGCTGCATAATCAAGGATTTTTTTCATAAAATATGATATGTAATTTAATAAATACTTAGCAATGATACTTGAGGATGAAGGAATAATTCTTCCAGGCTGAGAAAGCCAACTGTCTATAAAGGAAAACTTTCAGCCTGGTGTCAGTCTGCTTCACAAACTCATTCAGTGCCCTTATGTACTCGTAATAGAGAAAAGTCTACCAAGTAACTGTGAAGGAAGAAAACTGCGAAAGAAGGATCATATTTCTAACCAAGGTATCAAATAAAGGCAAGCATAAAACAATTTAAAAAACGTCTCTAGCTTTATAAGTGTGTCA